AGTACCAGGATAGGCTCCAAAGATACACAGAGAAACCCCGTCTCAAAAAAACAAAAAAAAATAAATAAATAAAAACAAAAAAATAAGAACTAAGATTTTGGTCCAGAGTGACTCTCGAGGCAATCATGAAGGAATGCTATGAATCTGCTTACTGTTGAAGCAGTTTCCTTGATACTCTAATATGTTCTTTATCATGTTCAGAGAAAGCACCACTAGAATAGCTTCTTGTAGGAAAGTCTCATGAGAACCAAGATCAAAAAGTGAGAAATGAAATGGATCAGACCCTATTGGTCTTTTATCTAGGAAAAGCAGTCCTCCTTAAATAAAGATGGTAGCACTTTTCAAAGTAGTCAATGACACTTACCTTCAGCATCAGTGTTTTCACATCCCACAAGGTTGAGAAGGATGTCATTGTCTTTATCATCTCCCTCACATCCCAGTAGCATCCAGCTTTCCACATTTTCATTCTCTGAAATGGTACTTTCTTCCTCCTCATTTGAACTGACCTCTATGACCATGACCTCTTGGATTACCCTTGACGTCTCTTCAGGTTCAGGCTTCTCATTATCCCTCTTGCGTTTCTTAGCCAATTTATTAGGATGAGGAGAAGCAGGACTTTGGTTCTTTTCTTGTGCTTGAACTTTAATATTTTTTCTTTTACATCTATAAATACTATCTTCATCAGATAATGTGATGACCTCTGATGTATCTGATAGCTGGATGACCTCACTATCTGAAAGAACGATTAAGTTCTTCTGGCTTGGTTCAATACCTGCTGTTTCAGAATTCTCACAGTTCTTTTCCTCATACCTTTCTTCCTTGTTGGCACTATGCAAATTCTGGGCATAATGAACTTGGCTGTAGAGCTGAAATTCCACCTCACTATCAACACTCAGTTCACTAGATGAATCTTCACGGTAAAGATCATCTTCATATGCTTCTATAGTCTCATAGCCACCAAACATTATGGAAAGTCAGTCACTTTAATGCTGTAAGAAAGTTAGACCAGAAGTATTTTAAAAGCTAAGATCTTGTTTAGTTAGTGCCTATCACCCCAAGCTGACTCTGAAGACTACCATTTCCCCCCCAACATATTAAAATGTTTTTTTTCCTAATACTGCTTTTCCAATAATTTATAAGCCCTATTATCATCCTCTAGAGTAGTGGTTCTCAACCTTCCTAATCCTGCAACCCTTTAATATAGTTCTTCATGTTGTGGTGACCCCCCCAAACATTATATTATGTCACTGCTACTTCATAACAGTAATTTTGCTACTGTTATGAATCATATTGTAAATATCTGATATGCAGGAT